GCTGGGTGTCGTAAACAGTGGCGTTCTTGCATCTTCTCAATTTCTTTGCAACCTTAGACCACTGAGATTCTCCATTTTCTGTTTGACTCCACTTTCAACTTTCCTTTCTTCTCCTATTCCTCATTCCATTGGGCAGTCAAAAGACAGCAACCAAAACCGGCGCACGAATATGCGTGGTTAATGGTTGTACAAACTGAACTGAACTGATACGCTGACCTGACGAGCAGACACTTTCGGTGTTGCTTCTCTTTCGGACGCTGATGGACCCCTTGGCGTTGCACATAAGCGACTGTTGACGGTGATCCAATCGAGTAGTGCAGCTTCGGCTGTATTATTCAGCACACTGTCCACACTACGCTTCGTCATCACCTGACTCGCGGAGGAAGAACGTCGAAGTCACCCCCGGTGCGTGTAAGTGGCCTATAGTGCTAAGATCCTGGATTCGCGTTTCCGATACGCAGCAGACATCAATCCCCAAAGAGTCCATTGTACGCGCCAGACACGCTTGTTGACCTACCTGCATCAGGGTCCTCACTTTGAAGGCCCCTAGATTCAGTGGCTGACGAGGCCTCAGAATCTGCACTCTTTTTTGTGATGGAATACTTACCGGCCTACTTGGCGCCGAACTTTGGCAAGTGATGAACAAATTGTCTGACTGAATGTTATGGGTTTGAAGGAGGGAGAGGGTTGGGAACGGAAGATAAAGAGTTAAACAAAGGTTTGGGATATCTGAGCAGTAGCCCACTTATCACTATTCACGCAGCATGATGCAATGGTCAACGCGGTCCTGATTATCCTGCGCAACGCCCGATGCAGTATGGAATTATTTTTTGTTTGTGTATGCATTAGGGTTTAGTGGACGGGTACTACTAGGGTGTTCAGCCACTAAGCCGGAGAACGATTAGGGTTCTCATCCAAAGTCTCTAGTTCTAACAAGAAACTGACCGCAAATTAACGGGTGAAGCGAAGTAGAGGACCATTTACTTGGATCGATTACCCCTCCGCACGCGAATTTCACCTTTGAAAGTAATTTCAAGTGTTTCTTTGACTTGTTACCGTTTTTTGATCTCTTCTAGCTTTGATCGTCCTTCTCTGGAAGATCTAGTTGGCTGCGTTGGAACCACTGCCGACCTGAGTGCCATTCGTTTTCCTGACGATGAGGAATATGAAACGATCCACGCTATTTTTGTTGGTCGCCAACGTCTTCGTATCACGAAGGTTTTTCGGGAGATGCCCCAGTGAGTTGGATAGTCTGTTTTATCTCAGTGGTTTATTTGGTTTGTGAAGATTGGTGAGAACCACTCTCTATATAAAGTTAGTACTTTCTTGATTTGTATCTTGCTAAATTGCTTTGCCCAAGGTCGACTGACAAACCCGACATTTCTCAGTCCAATTTCACTTTAACAATCAACAATTGTTTTTTTTTCGCAACCGATTTCGTATGCAATTGAAGGAAACATTGAACAAAATGGTCAGGGTAGAATACAGAGAAGGGCGAAAAATTAGCTCAGCGAAGGCCACTACTATTTAACTACATCGTCGTTCTCAAGCCGTCAATATGCATAACGACCGGGCCAGTTTATATGAGCTTGATGAATTCTCACGTTTTGCGGTTTTCGGGATATTTTCGGTGAAATACGGTGAAAGGTGAACAATTTAGTCTTCTCAGGTGACTGTGTTAAAAGCGACGTCGTTAGGAAAACGTGCCAACTGCTCGGTTCAGTTCAGTTCAGTTTGTACAACCATTAACCATGCACTATCGTGTACCGGTTTTGGTTGCTATCTTTTGGCTGCCCATTTGGATGAACAATAGGAGAAGACAGGAAAGTTGAATTTAGAGTCGAACAGAAAATGGAGAATCTCAGTGGTCTAAGGTTGCAAAGAAATTGAGAAGATGCAAAAACGCCACTGTTTACGAAACTCAGTCGTGTCACTCAGCGTCTCTAACCATTGGCAACGATCATCCCGAGGTCCTCATCCAAAGAGCCTAACAGGACCTATGTGACCCAGTCCTTTGGTCAGGGTTTTTATACATTCGTTCCCGGTCTTAGCCTGACCACCCTTGGTTTTTTCCGCCCACTACCTGTCAATTCTGATGCAATACCGTCATTGATCACGCGGCTACCCATGTACGAGGAGCAATCAACTTCAGCTAATTCCTGACCGTCTAGTTTCAGAACGGGACTCGGTGACACCCAGTCTTGCAGCATCACTTTGCACTTTGAAGGTGCAAAGCACATGCCGAACAGAACGTGCCATTCTGTTAAGTGCCCTTTGTACATCCCCCATTCATTGGAATAGGCAAACGCGGTCGTCAGCGTACTCTAGGTCGCACAGCTTTTCTCCAGCTGCCCATTCCATATCAACGTTTCGGAGACCACCAAGTGCGTTCTACACTATTTCGTCTACAATGAAACGGAACACCAATAGCGAAATAGGGCACCTTTGACGAACACCGCTGCTAGTTACGAACGACCTACTCAGCTCACCGTAGACGCTTACGCTACCAGAAGTGTGCAAGTAGGGTGACCTCAATATGTTCACATACTTCTGCGGGATTCCTTTGCGAAGGAGCCAACCCATAAGGGATTCGCGGTCAACTGAGTCGAAGGCTCCTTTTAGGTCAAGAAACACGACAACCGTTGGTCGACGGTGCGTATGGCGTAGTTTGAGGACTTGACGCAGTGAAGATTTGATCGATACAGCCGCTATCTGGTCGAAATCCTGCTTGTTGTTCGCGTATGTTTATCTCTCTAAACAGTGTCAGACGTCGAAGTATGATGGGGGCTAGTAACTTGGTGACGATTGGGATCAAACTTATTCCACGGTGGTTCACACAATCGCTGCGAGATCCCTTTCTTAAAAATTGGAACGATCAGTGATTCGATCCAAGATGATGAAATGCACTCATGTGACCAGATGTTACGCATTAGATCAGTAATGGATTCTAGCAGGTCACCGCCTCTCATCTTGAAAAGAGTGGGATGAAGCCCGTCCAGCTGGGCTGCTTTTCCGTTCTTCAGGGCTTGGATGCAAGATCGAACTTCTGCTGCAGTCGGAGGTTCAGGTGACACTGCCCAAGGAGCCTCAGCTACACCGGAGGAGATAGTCTTGTTTTGCCCCTGGCCAGCTGAAATGTTCGGTTAAGTACTCCGCCCACCGCTCAAGCTATTGTGAATAGCTTGTCCCTTTTTTGTCTCAGATTGCTTCACTAACCGTGGTTCGCCGACCTCTCGTGTTGCGTATCGTCTGGAACAGTCTTTGACTGTTCCCTGCTGCAGCTGCAACTTCCATTTCACTAGCTGTCGTTACCCACCAGTTCTCATGGTCTTTCTTGAGTTGACGTTGCAGACACCATCTACCCCTGCCTTAATCCCGAGCGGACGGGATTTTCCGCTTTTTCTCCATCAGATCTGACTTATCAGATATCCAGTGCCTCGGGCGAGCTACCGCTTCAGATCCTCAAGCAACACTTGCTGCGGAGTACATTGTTCGTCTAATCCGATCCCACTGTTCATCTACACTACCATCCTGCAGCGCGTTCAGCTCTTGCCCTAGCTCTGATTCAAAACGGGCACGAACGGCTGGATCAGATAAACGATAATCTGCCAACCGATTTTGGTTGGAGTTTCTGCGACCCGTGAGTTGGAGAGTGAACTGTATCAAAACCGACGCATGATCAGATTCAACGCAGATGGTCCAATAGGACTTGCAGTTTTGTACTGAGCCACGCCAACGGTAGCTTACTGCTATGTGGTCAGTCTGAGTGAGCGTGCCAGTTGAATTTGAGCGTCATGTTGCTATCCGGTGAGAGCTGTGTCCGAAGTTGGTGCTGGATAGGAACAGATGATGGTCCTCGCAGAACTGAAGAAGTCGATCGCCATTATCTGTTCGCTTGCAGGACTTTTTTTATTACGGCTGGTTCCTTGGAAAGGATAAGCAGGAGACAAGACAGAGCACAACGACGGTCTAGATAAGCTTCCAATGCGTTCAGTTTTCCGACTTGAGCGGTAAAATCACCTGCGACGACAGCTATATCGGAACTTCGACTCAATGGAATAAGTTCGATGAGTTTATCACAAATTTCGTCGTTTTGTGCGTCAGAATTGCAGTTCGTCGGACCATACGCTGAACGCTCCGTTCTCGACTGGATTCCAGTCAGTAGCCGATTGTGCTCTGTACGTCCCAACGGTTCGGTGCGGGTCAACAGGTACAGAACGAAGCGTCCATGTCTATTCGTCGTGTCGGTGTATGCACTGACCGATTGCAGTATACCTAAAATCAAGGATGAATTGTACAAGGACCTTTCTCAATTACTCCAAAGCGTTCGACCAACGGATATCCTGTTAATCGCCGAAAACTTCAATGCTCAAGTGGGATCCTTGGACGGATCAGAGAGACTTCTTGGTGGACCACATGCAATCCCAGCCAACCGAACGGACAACGGCGACTGCCTTCTTCAACTCTGTGCCGACCACGGATTGTTCCTGTCAAACATCGTGGTGCTCTGGTTCAAGTGGTACGTTAACTCAGATCGACTGTATAGCGTTAGTTACCGTTGGCGTGGATCAGTGCAACATTGCAGGTCCTATTGGACCACCTGCGTTGATTCTGACCACGCATTCGTTTTGATGCGGTTCACTCTCCGACTTCCTGGCCGGCGACGAATTCAGCAAACTCGTACAGCTCATCATCGACTATTTGTTCCAGCAGTTCGTTTGCGCCATTAATCAAAGCTAGTGCGTGAGCTAAGCGCGCCTGAACGTGGTGATGTAGATGTTCAGTGGGACCAGATTTGGCGAGCAATGCATTCCGCCGCGAATGTTGCTTGTGGGTCTGAGCCTCAAACCCATCGGAAGCATTGGATATCTCAGAAGTCAGTAGTTTTGATGGAGAAAAAAATGATAAATCTCCACCTGCCAGGATCAAAATAGAGTTAGGTGTCAGCTATAACATCAGCTCACGAAGAGCCTCAAGAAGGACCATGAGAACTGGTGGGCAACAATAGCTAGCGAAATGAAGGTAGCGGCTGCATCAGGGAATAGTCAACGCTGTTCCGACTAATACGCAATATGGGATGTCAACAGACTCCAGTTAATGAAACGGTCTGCGACAAGAGGAGACAAGCTATTCACAATAGCGATCTCTGGGCAGAATATTTCAGCGAACAGTTCAGCTGGCCTAGTGCTGACCAGGCCGCTTCATCTGCAACTGAAGTCCCGTGGGCAGTGCCATGCGATCCTCCAACAGAAGCAGAAGTTCGGTCCTGCATTCAAGCTATGAAGCGAGGCAAGGCAGCAGGACCGGATGAGCTCACTCCCACTCTTTTCAAGATGGGGGTGATCGTTCTCATTTTTAAGAAAGGATCTCGCAACGATTGCGAAAACCACCGCGGGATCAGTTTAATCCTAATCGTCACCAAAGTGTTAGTTTCGGTTATACTTCGACGTCTGACGCTTTTAGGAGAGACCAACATCTGTGAACAGCAACCCGGATTCCGGCCTGGCCGTGGATTTATTGACCAAATTTTTTAAGTTGTGTCAGATCCTTGAGCTGCGTCACACCCATCGTCGGCCAACGATCGCAGTGTTCCTTGACCTGAAAGGAGCCGTCGACTCAGTTGACCGCGAAGCTCTGATGGGCTCTCTTCTCCAAAAAGGAATGCCCCAGGAGTACGTTAACCTACTGAGGTCACTGTACTCACAGACCTCCGTTCGCATAAGGGTTTACAACAATCTAAGTAGGCCGGTCGTCACCAGCAGCGGCGTCCGTCAAGGATGCCCTCTTTCGTCGCTCCTGTTCAATTTCGTCGTAGAAGAAATACTGCAGAATGCAATAAATGGACTCCAAGACATAGGTATTGAATGGGCAGCTGGAGAAAAGCTGTACGATTTAAAGTACGTTGATGACATCGTATGCCTGTTCAACTGTAGGGAGGATGCGCAATGCTCACTTGATAGATTAACGGGTGCGGTAGCAACATTCGGTATGTGCTTTGCACCTTCAAAGTGCAAGGTGATGCTGCAGGACTGCGTTTCGTTCACTCCCACTCTGAAACTAAATGGCCAGGAATTAGTTATGGTGGACTACTTTTCCTACTTAGGTAGTTGCGTGACCAATGACGGTAATGCAGCAAAGGAGATAACCACCCGCATTTCCAAGGCTCGAGCAGCATACGCAGGACTGAAACATCTTTGAGTTGTGGTGTATCGTGTGATAACATCACATATAGGGTCAAGTGTAATGCTACTGTTATTGGAGGAAATCACACCGGCCGATAGTTTGGGCTGCCACATCGCTCCACGAATTCCGATAAACGAAATGTTCTCGTTGGCTCCGAAAACCTTTAAAATTGTGCAGCGTTGCTGTCGTCCGGTTCGATACCACGCCTGACCTTGCAGGGCCTTATGTGGTTCGCCACTCCAAGTCCCGGGGCTTAGGTTACAGGTTTCTGTGCCCGAGCAGCAGGTCTTCGTGACTATGGAGTTCGCCCTGTCTGCTGTTCACCACTCAAATCTGTGTACTAAAAAATTTGAAGCCCAATTTTTACTAAAATGTTCCAAACCTACGGATTGCTGTTTCGTGACTCGGCCATAAACCCTGGGGCATTCGCTCATGGGGTAGTCTTTTTCGACAGAAAAGACGATTTGAGTGCTAGCAGATGCCCCTGACTACTGCTGACTACTGCCTCTGCTACTACCGCAAATTATTTGGTGTATTGTCAATCTGTTCTTCCCATGTAGTTCTCATATCTTTTATCAACTCGCTTGCAATTGATAATTTATGCCCTATGATGCTAATCGTAGGTCACTGTTCAATGGCGATCTAACTTCCTCCTACTGTTTTCTGATGAATAAAAACATGTCCATTGGTTTCGGCTAGTATATTTTCCTTGAATTCTTGTATGCTGATCAGTTTAATTCATGTTTCCGACTGATTGCGTCCAGTGAAAATTTCGGGTCATTACTATTCGGGTAGTTCAGCACAATGCAGTTAGCGTCCTGCGTAGTTAGATCCGAAGGTTTATGTTTCCGGTTCCGCAAATCGACCATGGACTACACTTCAACTCGTTGCGTGCGGCGGCGTTCCAGTTATCAAGGCCATCAGAATAGTGGCCTGGACCATCTTCCTCAATGATGTATTTCCCCAGGTATCCTTTGTATAACTGCGGCTTGCTTTATGAAAGGCCCCTTACATTTGTACACTGAATAAACAAAAAGGAAGTAAAGCAGATATATTTATATCAGTGCCATATATTGAACTGACCTTAACCAAATTACAGTTTCTTTTATAATCATTTTGATTTTGGAGCATGCGTTGACTTCGGACACAAACAACATTGTCGGCTGATGTTGTATCACTTAGAATCGTGAATCTCAAACACAAGGATTTTAAATCAATGAGAAAAGGTAATATAATCCTCTGTATTAGTTCTCTATGTACAACTGTTTATTCGGTTAAGGATGAAAAGACTGTCATTTTCGAAGCAAACGGGTTGTTGCGAAGTGTTAACGTGGATTCGCGGTTTGAGTTTTGCAGATCGGTTTCACTGTTTATCCGTGAAATATTTTCCAAAGTAGTGCTATTCAGCGGCGATTATTGTAGTTAAGATGATCATTATCAAGCCCGCTTCTAATCTAGTTATTGCTCTATTTAGCTAGCTTATCATTTTACCTCTATCATGGTCGATGATACTGTATTTTCCCAATCAGACATTGCTTCAAAATCACGGTTTCTCGCCTCATTAGCCTCTAAGCAGTTCATCATTGTTTACAACTTTTGCGTCACAGGGGAATATGATCGGGCTTTATTGTGTGCGTCTTTAGAAATTACTTAGGTGATATCCTCCGATGTCGCTGACCTTGGATCAGTCTTGCGGTTAGACCAGATCAAACAGCGCGTCTTTGCCTGCTTGCCCAACGTTGGTTACAGAAAGCGTTCCAGCCGCACGCTTCGTTTAGTTTCAGATCACTTATGAAAGGAGGCCTGAGTTGCCTTCCTTGTTGATCCCCCCACTCAGCACATTGATTTGTCATGGGACCATACTTCCGGAATCTTCGACGAGCCATTCAATGGCGACGCATCCTCTGGGTTGGGGTCTGATTCCCCGATCTTGGTGTCGCTTTGGTCTGGATCCTCCTACAACCAGACAAAAACCAACGGAGGCCGAGCACGCACCTCCCATATCAACTGCTACTCGAATCCGAAGGTAATTTATGTTTTCAACTGTAAAGGTTCCACTGATATTTTTTTGTATCAACAGTTATCCTAATACCATGCGCTTAATTGTTCTCTATGACAAGTATAAATCCCATCTCGTTTCATGGGTAATTTTCAATTCGCTTTACTTATTTCAAGTCCTTATTCCTGCACACATAAAACCAGCGGTCAGTACTATATTGGATACAAAATTCAGATAGAAGTGACAAAATTCACTATATCCAGTTTGCGGTTACCCATGTTTACTTGATGATTGCAATTTTCCACTCCTTCGCCATATATTCCGTTGAATAATGCTTGGAGAGAATACGGTGTATTGAACTGCATTTCTCGCTCTTGAATAGCCTTTTCAAAGTTCACAGTGAATTTTAAGTCTGAGCTTTTGGCACTGCGTGTTACAATTTTCCAGTGTTTTTTTTCTGAAATACAATTTAAATCTGGGTTTAACTAATGATTACCAATTATCAACAGTGACCAAAGCATCAGTATTGTCTTGGGTTGTAGCTGGTCACCTCTACCTTGCACCTCACGAAATGCTCCCATTCAACCAAGTGTCTGAAATAGCTCAAGTGTGCTGAAAAAGCCCTACTCACTGCCTTCCCGCTGCAGCGATGTTTTTGCACCAAAGTAAGAGGACGAAAAGCCAACACCCGGGATTGTAACCGGGTTAGTGAACCACTGGTATTTCACCCAGGGGAGTTGGCTAAAACGCTGATTCCAAACCAACCAAGAAGAGGCATACGAACCACACGTCTATATTTTTCTGGTTGTGGCAGTGATCCCCGGCTCATTTGGGCTTCGACGTGCACAATCCATCTTGGACGTTTGACCCGTCTGCAGGGTAAATAATTCGATGAACTGGACACCGGTCCCAAAGGGATTGTGGTTTTCGCGTACCGCCCCACTGCCTTGCGGTTCAGACGTTGGCTAGCCGAAGGCTCCAATTATGAGTTCCTCCAGAAAACTCACACGCCTTAGCATGCGCAACCTGGAAGTCTTCCGCCCTCAAACAATTTTTTATAAAGATTATTGTTCTGTGAATATTTTGGTACACAGTTTAGACTCAGACGTGCGACAACACAGTTACCATCGATTCTTTGTCAAATAAAGGTACGGCACATGCAGTAGTCTACTGTGTTCTACAGCGATTCACGTGCGGTCCGAATACTGCCAGGTTGCCCAGGCCAAGGTAGGTGAATTTTCCTAAAGAATCCACAACCGGAGCCTTCGGTTAGCCAAAGCCTAACCCGCAAAGCAGCGGGGCGGTGTGCAAACTGCAAAACATTGAGGTCTGGTGTCCAGTTCGTCAGATCATCATCAGATCATACGCCCTTCGGACGGGGTTAAATGTCCAAGGTGCCCAATACACTTCGATGCCCAATCAAGCTGGTGGCCACTGCCACAACCAGGAAGGTGTGCGTGTGGTTCCTACACCTCTTCTTGGTTGGTTTGGAATCAGGGTTTTTGAATAGATCCCTTAGGTGAACTATCAGTGGTCCACCAATCCAGTTATAGCCCCGGATGTCGGCTGCTAGTCTTCTCACATCGGTGGGAAAACACCTACGCCACTGGAAGACAGTGAGTAGGGCTTCTTTAGCAGAGACTATTTGTGACTCTTGATCATATGGAAGCATTTCGTGAGGTGCAAGGAGAGGGTGAACAGCCGTCGTGGAACATTTTTCTTGTTTATAATGATTTTGGTACTCTGATTGTTTGGCCTTAAGTCTGACCTCAGATTTGTGTGAAATATGCATAAATATATAGGTTGTACAGCTATTATTTATCGGTATAAAAAATCACAACTAAATGCGCATTTTATTATACGGGAAATTCTAAAAGATCTTCCTTTGTGATGTTTCACTAATCACATATCCATCAAACAATTGCCGTTGAATTCCGGAGATCAGGAAATTGCTGCTTCCATGTTTGCTGAAGCGGAAATTGTTTCCAGGGAAAACCTGATTTTTTTTCACTCAGTTCCGCTGAATGAAAATAAACGCATTAGGATTAATTGCTATCGCCGATTTCTAGTGTTTTTTCGATCTTCCTGATTGATACAAACTAAGATAACAGGTGGTGATTGGAGCGCAGTGGTTTAGTCGCTGTCACAGGCGTGCTTTGGGCCCTATGGTTCCAGATTCGGGCCCCGACTTTGGTGATAGGCAGCTTTGCTGTCATCCGGTTCAATACCACGTCTAACCTATCGGGGCCTTATGTGGTTCACCCGGGATTCAGGTTACCGTATTCGATCACTGAACAGCAGGTCCTCGTGACTATGGGGTTTACCCCATCTGCTGTTTAGCACACGAAAGTGTGTAATAAAAAAGACAGGTAAAATTTTGCCCTCTGAATATTCATCCCGTACGTTCTTCCCTATGGAAATCAAGTCTGTGGGCAACCCTGTGGACGTTACATACTTTTCCACCATGAAACGTAATAATCTGGCGCTTCTATTAAACGTTTGCAGTCTGCAGTTGTTTTTGATTGAGAACATCGGGACAGCATTTTGTGGGACCGAACTCCGTTATGTGCTGGTAAACAGTAGCCTCTTAGATTGAATGCCAATCGACAGTCGTCTCTGTGTGGTGAAACTGATGTGTCCTTGTACGGTCTTTCGAAGGCTAGAAAAAAGGCGAAACGCTTTCTTAGTGCTGTTTTCCACCCCGACTGATTGCATTCCGGTTGCAGATAAAGATAGACTGTACTAATGTTTATTTAATTGCCAGATGTGTTTACTAAAGGCGTTGATGTTGTAGTACCGACAGGGGGCTTTTACGTTTGGGTTGATAGTCTGGGAGGATAGACTGTTGTCTCAGCTGTTAGCGCTCTGGTGTGCCTCTGGTTCTTGCTCGACCAAGTGCTATCGCGTAAGGTAACAGGTCATTAGCCATTGTGTTATTTACTGGGGATCCCGATTCACGCCCGTCTCGATGTTTTCCATGGATATTTGTGGGCATTTTGTTTTAGGCAAATAACTTGCCAAGCGAAAAACTCACACATCTTGGAGCATCGCCACTGTTTGACCGCGATCGCTCATTTGATGTAGCAATGCTTATCTATTTGCAATCAATTACCCAATGTTGGACTAAGTAGCCTACCGTATCAACTTTTTCTGTATATATGTATATATAAGTAATATATATATAATGTGTGTGCAGACGAAGTGATTTTCGATTTTATTCGCGCAATCTGTGCCTTTATTGATACGCAAGTCGTTTGATGATTTGGTCCGCTTGTGACGGTGAATTGTAGATACCTCATTGGGATGGATTCGCCGAGTTTATTGGCTGATTTCCGAAACTGGCAGTCGATTAATCCTCGTAAATGATTTTCGTCGTTTCGATCGGTTAACTAATTTCTTCAAATTTTGATTTTAAACACTGTTCGTCAGATTGACTCGTAGACGTTCACGGCACAGTCAAAGTTCATCATCATCTTCGTCTTCACAACCGCCACCACCGAACAGCCCAATTAGTTCTGTTCCTCTCGGCAATCCGTTATCCATTTTTGACTCCCGTCTGAGCACTTGGCGTCATTTTGGTCCGATCAGTTCCGGCTCTGTCTCTCCCCTCCCGACTTCTAATGCTAGTCCTCGATTGGATCATTTCGTCGATGATACAGTTCCCGATACCCCTGAACCCATAGCATTACATACAAGTGCCCCTGATATCAGTGTAACTGCTCAGTCCCGCCCAATTCCCGACCGGGTTTCTGAGGACGGTTCCGATTCTACAACCGACTCTCGATCCAGTTATCATACACCTTCCGGAGAGGGTCCTGTTGACACTTTACTTCCTGAAGGCTCTGCGAAACAGCCTGATGTTATTGTAGAGGATGTAGAGTTGATCATGGATCGGGCTGTCGATCGTGATGGAAAACCATTCCGTTATCGGATTCAGCAAGCCTGTCATCCTCGTCTATTGGCACGGCGTGATGTGTTGGCTGCGGCTGCCCAGTGTTTCACTTCGTTGCCGTTTTGGGTGTATAGGCAATACGATATAGTAAGTTCCTTCATATTTCACCTCTCAATTTGGTGTATTTTTTTTTACCATATCCAGTATCTGGAGAGATACAGACTGGCTATCAATATATAGGATAACAGCTGTATACTAGAAGAGCTTAAATCGTTGTAATAAATGTTTCGCAAAATTCTTGTAAATGTGCAAACTATGAGCTGAATGTTTTTAAGTTCTTCTAGCTTCTTGATTTTGTCTTCATGTGGGTAAATGATTTCTTTACAGTTGTGAAGGATTTCAAATGCAACCTGTCTAAAAAAATAAATCCGCCAAGCAATAGACCAGCATTCAACATATGCGTCCTACGGATGCAGTTATTTCGGTTGATTGCTAATTCATATAGGATCTCCGATGTTTAAGAGTTGCTTATTATTATTATTATTA